CCGGCCCCCGGCTCAAAAAGGTTGCCTACCCCTGCACTAAACCATGCTGGGTCAGAGTCCTTTACCATTAGCAATCCTGAATGGAAGGACTGACGTCCAAAACATCTGCAGAGCCATAAGTTCCATAATTGCTACAGAGTAGATAAGGCAGTTATCTGGCATCTGGGAGATAGTTTTCTGCCCCTGGGATCTTCTAAAAAGGTAATTCCGGAGCCTGGGAGTAGCCACCAAGAAGGCCCTCTCCCATGTTTCCACCACATGTACCTGTGAGGGTAGAATATTAAACATTAAGGGGGAAAGGGGGGAATGCAACCTACTTAAAACATGAATTACCAATCCTAGAAGCTTTCAGAAAAGGTAATCCCCCTCTTTTTTTTTTTGCCAAAAAAAGGCAGTTCAAGAGGTCTGGAAGATTCAATGCCTGAAAAAACAGCTCTGGTAGTGCACATTTTGTCCACCCCTGCTAGAAAGCATTACTTTCTGTCCATTCCAACATATGAGAGAGTATGCTGGGATTAGATTCATTATTAGCTTGACAGATCTTGGCATTGAGAATAGAAAAATCCAGTGTGATTGTTAAACAGATACTTCCTAAGGCTGCAACCGTATTCATATTTACTCAAGAGTAGGACCTATTCAGCACAGTGGGCTTTGTTGTTGTTATTTGCTGTAAAGTTGACTGACTTACAATGACCATATGAATAAGAGATCTCCAAGAGCCCTGGTCATAACTGCCCTTCTCAGGTTTTGCAAATTCAGGAGCATGGCTTCCTTGATTGAATCAATACATGTAGAATGTGGTCTTCCTTTTGACCTACTGTCTTCCACTTTGCCAAAGATTATCATCTTTTTCAGTGAGTCACATCATCTTATATCTGTCCAAAGTATAGCAGTCTCAGTTTGTCATCTTGGCTACTAGTGTGTGTTCAGACTTGATATGTTCAAGGACCCATTTATGTGTCTTTTTAGCGTTCTGTGTTGTCTGTAGAGCTCTCCTCCAACCACACGTCACATGAGTTGATTCTCTTCCTGCTACCTTTCTTTACTGTCCAGCTTTCACATCTACACTTACAATCTGAGATTCCACCTAAACATTAGGAAGAACTTCCTGACAGTAAGAGCTGTTCAACAGTGGAACACTGTTGGAGTGTGGTGTAGTCTCCTTCTTTGGAGGTTCATAAACAGAGGCTGGATGGCCATCTGTCAGGAATGCTTTGATGCTGTGTTCCTGCATGGCAGGGGGCTGGAATGGATGGGCCTTATGGTCTCTATCCAATTCTGTGATTCTATGATTCTATACTATAGTGATGATTCTGACTTTGGTATCTATTGATACAACATTATATCTGGGAATCTTATCTAGTTCTTCTATAGCTGCCCTTCCAAGTCTTAATCTTCTTCTGATTTCTTTACTACAATCTCCATTTTGATTAATAACTGAGCCTAGATATACAAAATCTTTGTCAATGTTTTCATTACTCACGTTCAAGTTATATAAATCATTTGTGATCATTATTGGGGGGGTCCCCCAGTAAGCCTTACTTCCAAGTAAACATGGCTGCAGATCAAGCAGCACAGCTAAGAATGTCCAAAAAGAGTTCCACTTAACACTCCTGTTTGAACCCCAAATTCAAATCAGTTCACTTCTATCTGGTTATTGCAAAAAAAAAAATGCATTGGTGTACCCCAACTTCACTTTCTTGGACTCATTTCTTATATATTAAGACCCAGCTGTGAACTACTGTGTGAATTATTGTATGTGATGTTTCTATGTGTTCTTGGCTTAGTGCATGGGCACATATTTATCATTTATTTGCTATTTTTGTATCTGACCACTCATGCAAAGAGTTCCAAGCAATTTACACTACCTTCTCCTCATTTTATCCTCACAACAATCCTGTGAGGTAGAGTAGTCTGACAGAAGGTGATTCTGCCAATTTTACTCAATGAAGTTCATGACTGAGTGTGGATTTGAACCATGGTTTCTCCAACTTTAGTGCAATACTCTAACCATTATGCACCCTGTCTTTTAGTGAGGGAGCTCCAGATCACTGACAATGAACATAATTGGTACCAAACCTCCATTTGACATCATGTAATATAACTTGCAGTCCTTATGCTAAGAATTTACAACTGTAGTTGTACATGACTCAGACTGCATCTACACTGGAGAATTAATGCAGTTTGATACTGCTTCAACTGCCATGGCTCAATGCTATAGAATTCTGGGATTTGTATTTTTGTGAGATATTTAGGGGGGTTGCAGACTGCCAGAAATAGTGCAAATTGAATCCACTTTTAGGGTTAGGGTTAGTGCTAGGGAATCATGGGAATTGTTTTTTTTCTGAGACATTGAGCCTTCTCTGTCAGAGAGCTCTGGTGCCACAATAAAATACAGTTCCCATGATTCTCTAACCTTAACCCTAACCCTAAAAGTGGACTCAATTTGCACTATTTCTGGCAGTCTGCAACCCCCCTTAGTCTTCTTTGTCAGAGAGCTCTGGTACCACAACTACAAATCTCAGGATTACATAGCATGAACCCTTGACATTTAAACTGCATTAATTCTTCCTTTGAAGATTGTTTGGAAACTTTTGTTGGCCAAAAGAGCTACCACCAGATTGTTAACTGGGGTTTGCTACAGGGAGCAAACAACTCTCTTTTGGAATAGTTTCACAGGATACTAGTCTGTTTCCAGGTACAATTCCAAGCACTGGCTTGAACTATAAAGCCTTATAGGCTCAGGTTCAGTTTATTTGAAGGACCATATTCTTTCATATGAACCTGTCTATGGCTTGAGATGTTTTGGGGAGGCCCTTCCCTCTGTCCCATCACCCTCACAAGTACATCTGGTGGAAACATGGGAGAGGGCTTTCTCAGTAGCTGCTCCTGAACCCTGGATCTCCTTTTCTAGAGAGGTTAGATTGGGAACACCTTTTCTGTCTTTTCACAGGCAGTTGAAGACTTTTTTGTTTCAGGAGGTCTTTAAATACTGACAGCTCAAAGGTATAGACTTTGCATAATGTGTTGTATTGTCTATCTGTTGTTTTCTGTTTAATGGCTGTTTTTATTGGATTTAATGTTATTGATAATTTGATTACTTTTTCTATTTTTCTTGACTTTTAAGCTTGTTATGTTGTAAGCCACATTGAGTCCTGGACTGGAGGAAAAGTGGGAAATAAATGTTGTTGTTGCTGCTGTTATCCAAAATCGTATTCTTCAGGACCACTCCACAGGTTTTCCAGGGTGCTTTATGAGACTGATTTGATACAAACTACAGTGGGTCTTTGGTACTTGCTGGGGTTTGGTTCCAGGACCCTCATGGATACCAAAATCCATCAATGTTCAAATCCCATTAAATATAATGGCATAGTGAAATGGTGTCCCACATATAAGAGGGCAAAAACAAGGTTTGCTTATGGAAATATATATATATATATATATATATATATATATATATATATATTCAACCCATGGATGGATGAATCCATGGATGAAAAATCTGTAGATACAGAGTGCTGGCTGTAGTCATATTCCAGAGGAGTAACCATATTTGTTGCATCAAAAGCAAAAAATTAGTGGTCATTCCTAGGACTGCATCTCTGCAACTGGACCCTTTTTTTAGCAAAGCAGTCAGTTTGGATCGAAGGGCTATCTGTAACTAAGGACAGGACCTGGGTCTGAGTCTCAGGAACCTGGACCCTTTTTCTTTGATCCTGAAGGGGAGGAGGAGGAATCTCAGGTTGAGAATTCTTTGAAACGTGTGCATGTTTTCTTCATGTATTAGGCTTTATGATTTTGGTTTGAGTGACATACTCTGTGAAACTGTGGTTGATGCTTAACATGTCATGCTTAATGGCATCATTAGGGGCTGCCCCTTATAGCATTACCCTCGTAATATCCTCAGGGTGCACTCCCTGTGATGTTACAAGGAAAGAATCACCCCAAAGTCTTGAATTTTGGCCCTGAAATATAGTCCTTACCATGGAACCTAAAATAATCATCTTCCAGTATCGACTACCAATACCTCTGGAGAACACGTAGGCCTGAAATACTGTGGATCACACCACAGACCCATTTAGTGCAGCATTCTCTTCTCACAAAAACAATAGTTGATGCCTGTGGGAAGCCCCGGCCACAGGATTTGCACAACACCACCTTCATCATTGCATGTTCTAGTAACTGGTATATAGACCCAAACAGATGGTGGACATATTATATCACCTTTGAAATTAATAGGCATTGACACTCTTCTCTTCAAAAAAAATTGCCTGGTTCCTTTTCGAAGCTGACCAGATTGGCAACCCCCACTAAATCCTGAGGAAGCCAATCCCATATTTTTCTGAAATGTGTCTAGAGAAGGGTGACCAAGATGGTTGGTCCAAGCCCTATTAGGAATGGCTTAGGGGGCTGGATATATTTAGTCAAGAGGTGATAGGATAGCCATATGTACATATCTGAAAGGACATCATGTTGAAGATGGAACAAGCTAGAACACAAATTGCAAGAAAAGAAATTCCATTTAAACTTTAGGAAGGTCCTCCTGACAGTAAGAGCTGTTTGACTGTGGAATAGACTGCCTCGGGTGTGTGGATGGATCCTCCACCTCCACAAGTCTTTTGACAGAGTTGAGAGAAAGAAGCTTTTCCTTGATTATGATGATGTAACTGTATATCAATTGTATATATTGCAGATTTTTTAAATTAAAAATATTCTGTTGACCTCCGCACCCTTTATGTTCATTGGTTCTTGCTGACCTTAGTGACCCATAAATACTTCCAGGCAATAGTTTGGGGGTGGGGAACCAGATGATGTAACCTTTGCCTTTAGAACTTCAATTTCAAACAGTCTTCTAAGATAGCAACTGGCATGGACAGCACTTTTCTCCCCTGCAGTCTCAGATGGCAAGAACAACTTCATGACATCTTGGTGCATGTGTTTCACTTGCTTAGGGCCAAGAAGAGATCAGAAAGAGAGAAAGAGAGAGAGAGTTTTAAGAAAGGGCCTGTCAACAGGCAAAGGCGTACTGAATTCCGTGGGAGTAGGAAGATGCCTTAAAGAGTGCAGAGATATGCCATTCTAATATTTTGCTAAGAAAATACAAATGTTATTAAGACCGAACTGTCAACACAGGATATGTTCCTTCCAGACATCTTAAGCTGAGTGTTTCGCTTCATCCTACTCCTTGATTAAATACTTTAAGGAGATAGGGTTTTGTGGGTTTTTCAGGCTATGAGGCTGTGTTCTAGAAGAATGTATTCCTGATGTTTTGCCTGCATCTGTGGAATTTGTTTCATACCAAGTCCCATGCAAAATGGACCAAACTCAGTAATTCACACACACACAAAAGACCAAAATTCACTGATTCATCCAAAACTTTCATTAATATGTTTAGGATGTCATGCTAAATCAAACTATTACAATAAGTTCATAATTGTGCATTAAGTCACAATAATTTTATAATTGTGTATTACAGGGAGGGGGGGCATAAATGCAAAATGCTTGTTAGGCAAGTACCTATAGTATTTGATAGATCAGGTCCAAAAGCATACTACTATCTTTGTTTTACTCTTGTTATGTAACACAACAAGCATTACTTTGGATAGTTTAAAATAGCTTTCATATTACCTCTCAGTCCTCTGTTATCCAAGATAAACTTATGTGGTTCCCTCAGTTATTTCTCATAGGGATTGGTTTCCAGAACAAATGACATGTTATTCTACCCACCAAGATTGATTTATGACTTGATAGTTGCTTTGCCTATGGATTCATAAAGGCATCCCTGTTTCCAAACACATAGACACCTGTGATGCAAAATTTTTGAACAGAAATCTACTTTGATGTAAGCTAAATGTACCCTCGAATCAGAATCAGATCAATCTGTCTTAATTTATATGCAGATGGGCTCACAGTCATTTTACTTATATAGATATGACATGGCCTATAGTATATTTGCTGTAAGGTCAGTAGGGAAAGAGAGAGGTGAGCTCTATAATAATCACAGTACCTGTAGAATAAAAGGCATGTTGGTTTCCAGAAGTGATATTTCTAGGGAGGTTCCTTTCTGAGCAGAAAGTAGACTAACAGAATAAGGTGAAATTCTCAGTGGTGCCATGATAATGTAGGTAATAGCAACTGCATTTTGGGGTTCTCATAACTTCCTGACCATTTAGCCAACTGTTGTTGTCACCAAAACTCTGTTGTTACCTCTGGTGAGTAAAAAGGACAGTCAAGCAGCCAGGCAGGGAAGGTTTATTACTCCAGAAGAGAGTATGGTTTGGTTTTCCTTTTAAGACATTGGTGAGCCACCAGCAAGGATATGTGTGGGCAGCCAGGCTCTTAACATTTTGCATATTTGGGTGGGTTTTTGGATATATTTACAAGGCTACTCAAAAAGCTGTGAAAATGGTACAACATACTCTTTTATGTGTGATGGGTCTACATGGCTTTATTTCATCAAATATAAATGTGAAGGGGGTGCACTAAAGCTTTTCCGATTGTCAGTTGTTCATGGCAAGGTGTTGGTAGTTTATGCTTGGTATTGAAAGACTGTAGTCATTGATGAAATGTAGATTTTGGAACATACTTTTCAAAAGTAAGTAAATATATTATAGTTCCAAGGCCCTGAAGTAGTTTATTCCTTTTATAGTTTTGTTTTTTAAAAAAGCTGCTTTAAATGAGATGTCCAGGGTGCTGAACCCTATCCTTGAAAGTAGGTTCAATAACCTTGGGCAACTTCTTTAAAGTACAGTGGGCTCTTGGTAATCACAGAGGTTTGGTTCCAGGACCCCCTGTGGATACCAAAATCCATAGATGTTCAAATCCCATTAAATACAATGCACAGTAAAACAGTATCCCTTATATAAAATGGCAAAATCAAGCTTTGCTTTTTGGCATATATATACATATTTTCAAATCATGGATGGTTACATCTGTGGATAAGGAATCAATGAAAATGAAGACCAGACTGTACAGGCTAAAAAGATGCCCCACTGACATGGGAGCCGGCAACAGCCATTGCATGTCA